AAGTCTTTTAAACATGTAACTGCAAGTATTTGCATTTTTCATGACAAGATTTTAGGTTTCATTTAGAAAGAAAACTTTCCTCCCTAGTCTTCATCTCTCTTCATGCTCTAATTAGTCAACTAATTTTGCAAAAAAGAATATATCAAAGGGCCAGCACAGGTAGTTGTTTTGTGGTCACCACAAGCTTAAATTTGCACTTGCAAACAGAAGATATTGCTTAAAAAATAGATGAAACACAGAAACAAGTAGAATTCTTGCTACAATTAGCAGTAATTACTAGACAAAATAAGACTTAAGTTACTTACAACACTTAGGAATTTCCATTGGCACGAAGCCTGAATTAAGACCCTGCACACTAAAGTGCATGGCAGCCTGATGAGGGGACCTCCAAATCCTCCAGATCTGCCATCTACCCTGGAGGGTGCCTCCTCTCAGTTCCTACCACTGCTGTTCTTCTGAAATAAAGATAAAAGCACAGACCTTCTCACTTGCTCTGAAGACTATGTCCTGCCTCTGCAACCCAAACTCAGCTACATCCCTACCCAACACACCTGACAACGTCAGAACTCACTGAGCCTTTGGCTTTCACAGAATCATTTGAAAAGTGCAGCATGCGGCTGGGATGACAGGAAATGCCTTTCATGACACCATCACCTACAGAGACAGACACCTTGGCTCATCCACAGGGTCTGCACAAGGGACTCCAGTCCCACAGGGACTCCAGTCCCACAGCTCTACCCCACAGATCCTGCCCCGAGGACCACCAGCGCCAGCTCCTTCTGCAGCAGCTGTGCAGGGGAGGGAAAGCAGTTGCCCATGGTCTTGCCCCTTCTCTCTGTTTTTAGCTGTCTTCTCCAGCTTACTTTAAATTTCTGTTCTGGGAGAGGAGATTGGAAGTCAGGGCTACCTTCTGAAAGGTATACCACACTGTCATTGAGTAACAGCATCATGCCTTCTCGCTTGCACTATTCCCCCCCCCCCCCCCCATCCTTAAGCCTGTTTTGTATAAAATGAGATATTGATTTGATTTAAACTGGCACAAGAAATGAAGAGGGAAGATGAATGATCTTATAGGGAAGATATAGATAGACAGACAAATAGATATATATAGTTCTTCTATATATAAAGACAGAGACACTCTCACTGTACTCAGAGAGATGGAGCAACCATAGCTTCTCTGGGCAGTCTATTCCAGTGCCTCACCATCCTCACAGTCAAGAATTTGTTCCTAGTGTCTAATCTAAATCTACTCTTTGTCACTTTAAACCCATTGTTCTATCATGCCCTTCCTAAAAGGCCTTCATGCCCTTCCTAAAAGCTCTCTTACAGTGTTTTCAGTATGCAAACGCACCTGTCTTCATGCAATAGACCTTCATAGAATAATGCGGTGGGACCAAGAATGTGAATTCAAGAATGTGACTAAATCAGTTACATCCTAAATGCATTTAGCTTTCTCACAGAAATCATGTGCTCCCACATGAAAATTGACACTGCTAAGAAATTTGAGAGAATAGCAGGGTCTTTTCCTCAAAGAATGCAGAACTAGAAATCATCAGGTGCCAGAAGCACTTCAAAGAATTGTGACTTCTTTAGCCAAATTCACTAATGCATGCTGTGGACATATTTTGTTGTAAAAAAGAATTAAATAAAAATTGGCATGTGCTTCTTAAATTATGATTTTATTTATTCTTTTGGCAAATAAATCTTATACAAAACACATACTGGAACTACCAATGTTTCATATAAGCTATACCAACTCACAGTAACAGTCAGTTACTAATGCTCTACTAATGTTAATTTGAACAAACCCATAGCAGTACTACCATTTCTCTACTCTTAAAGGCATAAAAGGGGCACATTTGGTTTCCTAGATTTTTTTTTTTTATTACTTAAAAATTAAAATTTTTTTCCCCTTCCTCTTTCTATTCACACAAAAATAATTTCTTTGGAGAGTTATTCCCAATGCATGACGAAAAAACACAAGAAAAGTTCAAGTGAAACTTAAATTCTTGTTTTACCTAAAGCTTATACTGGCCAGCCATGCAAAAACCACCTGTCTTAGTATGACCAATAGCTGTTGAAATATAAAGGAAAAGCACACAGTAACAGTACTGGCAGTCAAAACCAATACATGCACCTTGCAGTCAATATAAGCAGCATCTTGTAAAACAGAAGCAACAGTTGTCTAAATGCTTTCCAAAGAATACACAATTCTAGACATCTAGATACAGCCATTAGTGAGACTAAAAAGAAAAATCAAGGAGGAGATATTTTGTCTATATTCCAAATAACATTGGAATTTTCTTAGATGGGAAAGCTGAGTTTATTTCAAAGTTGTGGTGATGGGAAGGAAAGAGATGAAAATGTTTTGATGGACAGATGACAACAACAATAAGCAACCTTGATGACTCATTCCAGCTTTGTCATTAGGGTAAATGAAGTGGACAGTTTGGCATAGGTCTACATTTGCTTCTGTTATGCTTTCAACATCCTTTCACTAATTGCTGCTCCACCTCAAGCCTCTCAGGCTGTCACTCACAAGGCTTACATTTTATAGCATAAAACTGGGCTAAAGAAGAAAAAAAGGTAACTCACAGTATCCTATATCACTCAGTTTGGCAAAAAAGTTCCTACGGTCTTTTTTTGTATTTGTGAAATGCCTGCGCATACTTGATAGATATCACAAAATTAAGTGTAAATGTAGAATGGAATACCATTCTACAAAAGTTTCTACTGCTTTTTGTCTTCATTTGTAGGGATTTTTTTACTCTGAACATTTTCTGGACATCCAGAAATTAGTGCTTTTTCATAGTAGCAAACAAAAATCTTGCACTATCCATTAAAAGTTTTAATACACATTGCAGTAATTTGTTCATTGCTTTCTGTACTTTTCATTAAAGTTATAAGACTTTTATAGCCTAAGTGACTAAGCAGAGAAAGACTATATATAATACGTTTCAGAAGTACAGTTAAAGAGACACGTGTATTTCCAGTAACAGTCAACCAATAAATAGGTTTGCATCACGACCTGACCAAAATAGTTCTCAAAGGCGAACAAGCCTCACAGAATCAATCTTAATTGTCTGTATTAAGGCTACTTATAGTACAGGAAAGGAATGGCAGGAAAGGTACTGCCAAAATCCAAAAAATTCACAGGAAACTGTTAAGAGAAACATGAGACTTAGATTGCAGTGCTAACAGGCAAGACACCCATTGGTTTCCCAAATGCTACTCAACAAACTGTTTTTTGTTTTCTATTATTTCATCTGGAATACAATTAATGATCAATAGGCACTGTTAAAGGGTAACATTTTAGTTTGATCTTGTAACTCTCAACATGAAGACTCACTTAAAAAAAGTAGGCTGGAGTCTGTGAGCTCTATCAGCCAAGGATTGAGTTTTGACTTCATCTTCAAATATAAATATAGAAATAGTATCATGAAGGGGAAAACGAAAGCATAGAGTAATTCTTTGCAAGGATTACTTGTACTACTACTATTTTGGCCCTTTAATTTTAATAGTAATACATTGTTAAAATTTCTTATTTCACATAAATGCATACTTATGTGCACTCACACAGTTCCGTGTAGTGTAACAGATTTCCAAAAAAGCTGATATATTTTTCTGCTTCCTATTATTATGTACATTCTAAACCATACCAGCTTTGTGCCTTGATATTAGTATGTGTGACAATACCTCTTGTGTAGTAATTTCATTTGGTTTTTTAAAAAATTCCAACATTTCTAAGAAAGAGAAAAAGACCATCTGGACAATCACTGTCCCTTAGATTTACAGTAACAGAAGCTTAACACTTACAGATGGAAAGTACACACAGTGGACAAATAAAGTACACTGAATTACTCCATGATTTTATTTTGTATGGATGAAAGCAGCTAACATGCAAATAAACATTAACTGTCTTCCCACAAAATTGAGCTTATGGGGAATCTTAGTCCAGTGCAGATATTTTGCATCTCCTTTAAACAAATTCTCACCTCTGCAGAAAGTTACATAACAAGATGCCTCAGTCTATGTGTGGAGAAAATTAGTCTACTTGACTAAATCTTGTATGGAATGATAGACCACAGCCTAAGTTTCATTCTGCAGAGTGGATTTCATTCTGCAGAGTGCTAAGAAACAGCAGTCGTCTCAACATTTAGAAGTGAACATCCTCCATTGCTATTATACATTAGTGAAATCTTAGTTTATTACATGGCAGTGACCTCCTCTTAGGAAATAAAAGTCATCATAAAGCTATCACTGAGATGACATATATTTTAAAGTACTATCCAAAAAGAATCTCAGATGTGTAGCAAGAAAATATGTCATATATTACAACTATCTAAACTTTTATGATACTTTCCACACTAATGATAGAATGTGCTACAGAATTTGGAAAATACTGTAAGCATTTGTACCTTTCACATTCTCAATGCTTATTTCTATTCCCTCCTTTAAAAGTGTAGCCTTTTGTCCCCTATGTATTAGGAAATGGAGAATAACTTCTCTGAAAACAAACATCTGAAATGAAAAATAAAGAAATAAAGTCCATCAGAGGAGGACTGCCTTCTAACAGGCCTCAGAAATCTCATGCCTAAATTAGAACTGTAACTATAAAAAGTTACGTGAATCACTGAAATGCTATTGCCATGTAGCTTAAAATATCAGCATTTTTTGTCAGTCAAAAAATACTCAAATAGAATTATTTTTTTAAAAAAGGATGCAGAATGGCTGTTTAACTTTTCTAGTTGCTCTTCAGGGGTCTTTTCTTCATCTGCCGTTAAGAATAAAAAACTTGAATGTCAAAAGTATGTAAGCTCGCATTAAGAGGTTGGAGATCACTTTACTGGAACAAGAATATGCAAATAAAATCATAAACCTGTACACCAAAAATTTACTACAGTAGTCTTAAAAATCTGAGACAAACTGAAATGTAAATTTAACTTATGTACAGAAATTTTGCAGTACATATATACATATATACATATATACATACTTACCTGATTTTATACTCATCAAGTAGTAGCATACAGGAATTGACCTTGGTGCCCAACAAATCGACAGCTCTATCACTGCATTAGATTGGTTAATTTCTTCCATTATATCTTGCCTAAGAGAAGAAGAATCATCAAGAAGCTACATCCCAGCATGTTCCATTTTTATAACCAAATTATACAAACTCCACACAACGGAGGGACTGTATTTCTGTGCCTTGTTTTGTTTCCCTGTGAACATTAATTCAGTAGCATCTCAGTAGTTGCTCATGTTAAATCATTCACATCTGTAAACTCTCAGCTCTATAACATCACCTCCTAAGCCTCTGTAACCTACTGGATTCTCATCTTCACTGTGCAGCGATCAGAAAATAATTAATTATCTCAGATCTTGGCCAAATGTATTCTAGCCAAATTTCTAGCCACAACCAAGGTGAAAGATGAGTAACAGTCTTAACAGTTTTCTGCTACTGCTTCATTATTTCATATTCTTCTCCTGCATTGCTCCTATTGACAGAAATACTTTCTTGAATTTTAGAGAAATTTATTGAAAGAAAGTGAATGAAATTGAAAGTGAAATTGAATGAAAGTGAAAAAGTGCATTATTTTGTAGGTTATTCTTGAACCCAACCAGCAGATAAAAAGAAGAAAGAAATTATAAGGGAATTGTATTTATTTTAATAATTGCTTTAAATTTTTTGCCTTCTGTATAGAAGTCTGCAAGCCATTTAAATACAGAAAAAAAGGTAACTTAAACAGAATGCGTTTTTAAATCAGTCCATTATTTCAGAGTAAACAGGGTAGTAAATAACCAAGCAGTGTCTTACATTAAAGATGTTCCGGTTTTCCATAAATTCCATTATTTTTCTCCATAATTTTGCTATATACCTATATAAGATGTGATAATTAAAATCTCTGAGAAAAAAATTATGTGGGTTTCTCATACTGGATAGAAAGTGCTAAGTCATGCACCCAATGCTGAGAATACTCTTCAAACTTATTAACAGGAGAAAATCTTCTCATGAGGCAATTGTTAAATCAACTATGATTCTATTTCTACCCACACTGCATTTAATGAAGTTATTTAAAATCTCTATGAAAAATCATGAGGAAGGATCACCAGCACTATTGGTGCTTTGCTTTACCCACTCACTGTATCCACATTATACTTCCTCCACTCATCTCAGGACTGACTTCAGAGTCAATGTCCTGATCTGAGATGCTCCAGCAAAGGCTAGGCCTTGAGCTACTGGACAAGATACCTAGAGTGCTCCAATATTATTTACAGCTTAAGTGTATTCCCATTTTAAGAAATAGTGTCAAAGCATATACTCATATGACTTAATATATCCCATAATTCCCATTACTGAGGTTTTCTTCATGGAAAACTGACTACATGTCAAGTCCAAAAAGGCCCATGGAAAACCATACCAATAAGAGGCCATACTAGAAGTCCTGCAAGAACATTAATTCTGCCTTTTAACAGATAAAGCAGTAATAATGCACAGACAAAGCAAAACAAGGAATCCATTCATCACTTCCCAAAGACTGGCTGTTGTTCCCCACATCCAGGAAAGCAGGACTCCATCATGCCTAACAGTGACTTGGTAAGACAAACACCATCACTCTGAATGTCCTCTACTTCCTTCTTCTTCCTCCAGCTTTATATATTGAGCATGAAGTCATATGGTCTGGAATATTTTTTGTGTCAGTTGGGTCAGTTGCCCCACCTATTTCCCTCCCAACTCCTTGCGCATCTCCAGTCTAATTATGAAGAGAGGCGAGTATATTCCCTTGTCAAAACAAAAATTTCAGTCACTGCTTTGGCGCTGAAGGCCTCTATCTAAATAAAAAGCAGGCTGTAAATTACAAAATGGTAGTAATGTAATTCAGTAAACAGCTGAGATGCTGGTTTCCACCTGCCACGTTTCTGTCTTGGAAGAAAAATAGAACGTCATAGCATTTTGATTTGCTGCCAGGTACTGGATGTGTCATGAATAATGCTGAGAGGGGATGCCTCCAAACCTGCAGAACTTGTTTTTAAATGTTCTAAAATAGTACTGGTTTTGTAAGCCACAGATGACTACACAAACTCTGAGAAATACTCTCCAATTACAAATTATTTGAGTATTATATTCAAGTGTTTTAGAGAAATCATTTGCAGTGTTCAAGTTCCTATCTTTCATAGTTACATTCACAAGATCATTGTTTAGAGTGCAAATGATCTTTAACACCATCTGTACACCATGAAAATGCCAGTTTCCAGGTGAAAGTGGTTTATGGGATGTTTTCACAGGATGACAGAATTATTAGGGTTGGAAGAGACCTCCGGAGATCATGTAGTACAACCCCCCTGCCAAGGCAGACTCAATTCCAGGTGGGTCTTGGCCTTCTTCCCTACATCCCTGCATACTCTGACAATGTTCCTATAGTCCTCCCACATGGTCTGTTCCCTGTTCTACATCCTATAAATTTATTTCTTGCATTTGCTTCCTAGGAGCTTCCTGATCCATGCTGATCCATGCAGCGCTTTTGGACCCCCTTCTGTCCCAGAGCTCTCTTCCACAGAATTCCTCTAAGCAGGTCTTTGAAGGAGCCAAAGTTGGCCTCTCTGGAGGGTCCTAGTCCCAGTACTGTTTTGCTTCCTCCACGCAAGATCCTAAGTTCCACCATCTCATAGTCTCTTACAGACAAGTCTGCTCCCAATCTTTACATCATCAACCCGTTCCTCCTGGTTTGTTGGTACAAGGTCCAGCAACACACCTCTCCTCTTTGGCTCCTGTACCATTTGCACCGAAAAGTTACTTCAATAACTGCAGTAGCTTCCGGGACTGCGTGTTCCAAGCCACATTGTCCCTCCAGCAAATCAGGGTGGTTGAAGTTCCCCAGGAGAAACAGGGCCTATGACCATGAGGTTATTGTCTGTTGGTCATAGAAAGCCAATCAACTCCCTCGTCCTGATGAGGTGGCCTACAGCAAACATCCACAACAGTGTCACCCGCATTAGCCTGCCGCTTAATTCTTACCATAAACTCTCAGATTATTTATTTCTCCCTGAGTAGAGCTCAATGTATTCTAGTTGCTCTCTCACTTAACAAGCAAATCCACCACTTCACCTGTCTCACCAGTCCTTTCTAAAAGTACATGGCTGCCTATGACAACATTTCAGTCACGTGAGCTATCCAGCCCTGTCTCAGTAACTGCAATGAGACTCCTTCCAATCACACACATATTTCTAGTTCTTATTCATTGCCCATGCTGTGTGCATTTGTATACAGGCACTTCAGAGAGGTAACCATGTAGCCATGTTCTCTAGAAGGTATATAAGAGGCTTCACCATAACCATAAACATCCTTGATATGTTTAGCCCTATGATCCTCATCTTGAGAGGCAGTCAAGGAACATCTGTCACTACGCCGGTTTGTATGACCTATTCCTCAGGAGGAAGCAAGGGCATTAACAATACCACTTTGGATCCCACCTCCCAAGACCTTTTGTTTAAAACCAATCTCACCAAACTGGCAAACCTGCTGCCAAGGACTCCCTTGCCCTTTTTAGATAGGTGGATCCTACACCTCCCTAACAGGCCACAATCATTAAAGCTCAACCCACTGTCATACAAGCCAAAACCTAGATGGCGCCAGCCACAAAACAAGATAATGATCTGCATTATTTTTCTGCTTCTGGCTGTCCCTATTTCTCTAACCAGTAGGATAGATCAGAACATGACTTTGGGACAAATATTTTTCATCTGCCTCACCAGGCCTTTATGGTCTTTCTTTATCCTATTTATTTTTTGGCTTGCAGCATCATTTGTACCCACATGAAAAAGTAATAGCAGGGAGTAGTCCATGCTCTTGAAAGTCTGGGGTGTCCTCTTGGTATGAGCTGCCTAGGAAGGTGGTGGAGTCACTGTCCATATATTCTACTGCATGCCCAATAAAGAATGGAGGTTGCCCTTGCCCCTCCATTTCCTACTTATTTATAAAAACATTATTTATTATCCTTCACAGAAGTGACAAAATTAGGTTCTAATTGGGCTTTTGTCTCTCTTATTTTCTTCCTATATGACTTAGCAACATCCTTAAACAATCCCTGTGTTGCTTGCCCCTCTTTCCAAAGGTGATACACCCTCCTGTTCTCCCTTAGTTCATTCAAAATCTTACCAGGGCAATCATCTTCCCTGTCAGCTCACCTTTCAGCACATACGGATAGTCTGCTCCTGTGCCTTCAAGATTTCTTTCTTGAAGTATGTCCATTCTTCCTGGACCCCTTTGTTCTTAAGAGCTGTTTCCCAAGGTACTCTCTGAATCATTAGTTTGAAAAGACTGAAGTCTGCACTTCAGAAGTCCAGAGTGCAAGTTTTGTTGATGCGTCCTCTTTGTTTCACCAAATTATTATTATTATTATTTCACCTGTTATTTCATGGTCACTGTGCCCCAGATGGGCTCTGACCACCACATCTCCCACCAGCTCCTCTCTGTTTGCAAACAGCAGGTCTAGCAGAACCCACCCCTGGCAGGCTTGCTCACCATCTGGGACAAGAAGCTCTCCTCTGTACACTCCAAGAACCCCTAGACTGCCTCTTTTCCGCTGTGTTGAGTTCCCAGCAGATGCCTGGCAGGTTAAATCTCCTACAAGAACAAGCGCTGGCAATCTTGAAACATCCTCCAGCTGCTTACATAGTAACTCATCCATCTCTTCATCCTGGTTGGATTGGACTTCAGCTTAAATCCACAGATTACACATTTTACAAACCAAATTTAAAATAATGTAAGTATGAAGAGGATGTAATTACTCACTAAAGCATCAAGGCTCAGCTTTTCACATATCTTACTTAATTACTGCCACTATAAATATAAATTCCTCATGTGAGAATGACATTCAATATCCCTCAATTCATGATATTGCAAGGAGGCCCAATTAAAAAAAAAATCACATCACTGAACTTTATGCATTGCTGTTGATACTGGCAACATATGTTCTCTAGCATTTAATCAGGATACTACCAGTAACAGTGATCCTAAAATTTGGATTAGGCACAATAAATTATTTTAACATAAATTAATCAGTGAGATTAAAAATCATTGTGGAAGACTGAATCTGTCAAGAGCAT